TCCCAGCAATCTACTCCAGAGTTACAGTGTGGACGGGGGAGACTCTAAAAAACGTGCACACGGCCACAATAAACACAGTTAGGGTTCAGCTAGTGGGTGAGAGGGGAGGTAGACACTGTGTGGGTGCCTTGAGGTGTCTGCCACGTCCCGTACAGACCCTGTGTTCTGACTTAATGTGTAGTTGAGTTCCTCATAAGAATAGCAGCCAGGTTTTGAAAATGGAGTCAACTGTGCTCTTCCCTCCTTTTAAAAACATAAACATCTCCGAGCTCACTGCAGCCCTCAGCTGGGACTCAGTACTGGCTGTAGGAGGGCCCCACTTGCAAACATGTTGATAGGCCCTGCACTTAGTTCTGGTCTAGGTATCACATCTCTAGCTTCTTTATTTCAGTCAGGTTTGTCACAGTTTCCCAAGCTAGAGATTTTTGGGTATCATCCTAACCTTTAAAAGTTCTTTATTCTCTTATCCAATGCATTGAGACACCTTGACTTGATTTCTCTTCCGTATCTCTGGCCACCACTTCCGTAATCCATACTCTCGTGGACAGGGCTTTGTGGTGGCTGCCGTCCGGTCCCTCTCCTCCTCCTCCTCACAGTCATTAGCTGTCTACTCCTGAAAGGCAGCTTTTAAGCACTTGGGCTCCACTTAAACATTTTAAAATCAGATTCCACTCGTTTTTGTCTTTCAGAGTTTCTCTCATGAGAGAAACTCTGAACTTATCTCTCCGTGGCAGTGTGCTGCCCTGGTCAGAATGTTTCTTTAGTGCTGGCTTCTCGTTTACCACCCCATGAGGACATAGTCAATCTCTGTCAGGGACACTTGGACCCTTCTGTCTGGTGTGGCTCTAAGTTTCACTTGTATCCTGCTTGTACCACATTGTTTCAAATCTTCCTTTTTAGGATCTAGATACTAAATTCCTTTCTTTCAGACTTGTTTGGGTCTGGCATGGAGGTCGGTTGGTACGGTGCTTGCCTGGCACGCATGAAGCTCTGGGCTCACTCCCTGGCACCACATCCACCCTCCCTGGAGTGGTGAAGGGAGGTAGAGGCAGGGTCACCACAAGTACAGGCTATTCTTGACTACGTAGTGAGGTCTACACCAACCTAGGCCATGTGAAGTCCTTTCTCAAAAAGCAAACAAATGCCCCAAACCAACTTTTTTTTTTTAACATATTTAAATTAAATATGTAATTTACTTTTATTTTACGTGCATTGGTGTCAGAAGCTCTGGAACTGGAGTTACAGATAGATGTGAGCTGCCATGTGGGCGCTGGGAATGGAACCCAGGTCCTTCAGAAGAGCAGCCAGTGCTCTTAACCACTGAGCCATCTCTCCAGCCCCTTGACAGGACAGGAAAGTGCTCTGCCATTGTCCTCTTCCTGCTCTTTGTCTGACATGAGACTGAATATCTCTCCATTTCTCTTCTCAGGGAGAACTTACAGATTCGCCCTTCCTTCCTCCTTTCCTCCCTCCCTCCCTCCCTCCTTTTCTAGCATTTCCTCACCTGTCGTTCTGCCCCACCCACGGTGTTGGTTCTCGGCTGTAGTCTGTCCTATTCATTCTTGGTCATGGTTTGTGGTTCGTTTGGGGAGGACACCGTGGTTGAGCCTAGGCTCTCGCGAGTGCTAAGCAAGCTCTCCTGTCCCCAGCTTCGCTCCCCCCGTGTGTGCCCATGTCTCATAGTGACCACGCTTCTCTGTTGTGTTTATTTTAAAATCTCAGTTCACTTGTTCTCCTTCCTCCCTCTCGCTCTCCTTTCTTCCCTCTGGTTTTTACCAACACGGTCTTTTGATGGAGCCATGGTTGGCTTTGAGCTTGCTGTGTGGACGAGGATGGCTTCAAAGTTACGGACCGTCTCCTGCCTCTGTCTCCTGAGTACTGGTGGACAGGCAAACACCACCATACCCAGACACCACACCTCGCCAATGTTTCTGAAATTGGCATAGATTGTCCTTCCCGTCTGTCCTTATTTTTAAAGTAGCTTCTTTTTACCTTATACTAAGATGTCTTTAATTTTTTTTTGTTTTTTCCCAAAGGTTTATTTGTTAATTTGTATTATATATATATATATATATATATATATATATATATATATATATATATATATATATATATATATGAGTACTTTGTCTGTATGTACACCTGCCCACCAGAAGAGGACATCAGGTCCCATTCTAGATGGTTGTAAGCCACTATGGTTGCTGGGAATTGAACTCAGGACCTCTAGGAGAGATAAGAGCAGTCAGTGCTCTTATCCTGAGCTGTCTCTCCAGTCCCTAGGTTACATTGTAAGCAGTGTAATTTGATGAAATTTACTCCAGAGTCAGATAGGTATGGATTTAAAGCTTGATTCAACCATTGGCTAAAGTTCTGAACAATACTTTCTTAGGTCATGTGCATTGGTGTTTTGCCTGCATGCATGTCTGTATGAGGTGTCAGGTCCCCTGACACTGGAGTTACAGACAGTTGTGAGCTGCCATGTGGGTGCTGGGAATTGAACCTGGGTCCTCTGGAAGAGCAGCCAGTGCTCTTTACCACTGAGCCATCTCTCTAGACTTTAAAAAAAAAAAAACATTTATTTTATTTTTTAAAATTATTTTTATTTCATGTTCATTGGTGTTTTAGCATTACTTTCTTATCTGTTACTTTAAATAACTATATGTGAGCACATGTGCACATATGTGATAGAGGTCACGTTTCCTTGTCACATGGTTTTGAACTCCTGGTTATCTTTTTCGTCCCCTTAAGTCATGAAAAGAGGAATAACTGAGACAGAAACTCTGTACGAAGAACAATGAATAGTGTTACTGGAAATTCCTTTCCCATCCTCTTGGCCAGTCTCTCTGTAATGACAGGATTGTGTTATATCAGAATATCTTGGGATAGAGGAATTTATATGGTGTGTTAGCTGCTTTCCTGTTGCTGTGATAGAACACTCAGATAAAAACAAGTCAGGGAAGAAATGGTTTATTTTGGCTCACAGTCCCAGAGGGGGTAAGTCCATCACG